GTGAAATATTTATTATTCACTGATCAGTGACTAATCAAGTCGGTAGAAGAGCATTCCAGTAATTCCACTAAATTAAAAAAGTGTTTTGGCCATGAAAAAAAAGAAACTTGATTGTTGTCAAGTTGATTTCTAATATAATTTATTGCACAACATTAAGGTGTCTATTAATTGACAAATATTATTTACAGGGTTCGTACGCAGTCTGGAATGTCTGGATAAAGTCTTGAATTTAGAAAAGTGAATTTAAGACTTAAAAAAGTCTGGAAAATCGCTAGTTTTTGGGCAGGATTTTTTAAAAGTCTGGAAAAGGTCTGGAATCTAGTTTTAGTAACAAAACTTCGTAGTCCTTATTTTCCAAATAAAAAATTGCGATTTTTAAGTGAATTTACTCCAATTTTTCCCCGCGCTGTCGCGCGGGTTTACACTGTGTTGTGACGTTTTTCGCTGGTTCGCAGAAAAAAAAAAACGGATGCTCAGTTACTACGTCATTGGGACGAGGGAGAGGGAGGGAAGAGATATTTTGTGGCGCGACTGACCGTGTGAATGTGTTACAAGTACTTACAATTGTCATTTAATGAAAGAATGATCGCCCTCAGAATTGTTAGGCTCTCGATTTTTTACCCGCTATTTTTTCATCGTTTGAGTTTGCATGCAGGCAGTCATAACAAAAAGTTATGGGAGAGATGTGTGAGTGGTAGTTTAGATATAATTTATCAGTCTGTAAGGCGTCATCCATTTATGACACAACAATTTTTCGGATTTTAGACCCCCCCCCCCCTTCCTCCCCCCACACGCGTTCACTTACTTTGGATTAATATTAGCATTTATAAGATTAATAAGTCGCAAGGCCTCCTTGGGTTCATACCTGTATTTCTGTTTGCTTCAGCTTAACAAAGAGGTACTATTTTTATTTAGGAGTCGTCCATAAATGACGTCACACTCCGTAAAGTCGGGAGGAGGGTTTTATAAAGTGTGATGACACGCTCTTGCAATAATGTTAGGGCAGATATAAATACCGTGTTTTATTTACATGCTGTGATGGTTTTTAAAACACCAGCAAAGTCGTCTTAATTTTACTTTCTACTCGCAAGTTACAAGTTTTATGTTTGTTTTAGAATGTAATCACAAAATCTTCCGACCCCTTTCCCCCCTCCATGTGTACGTCATAATGGGATGACCCCTTTAATTTTAATTGACCTTCCATTAAACTATTTTTGAAATCTTTGCAAATGCTGACGATTAAAGCTAGACTACCCCACCCCTCCTTGCAACATCGGTCACTTGTGTGAACTCACCGTAACCCCAAGTGGGTAGTTGGTACTGCTTGGTACGTTGGGTGGGGAGGGGGTATAAGTCACAGCACAGTTCATGTTATGACGTATTAAACAGGCATACTGAAGTCTAGACTACTATGACCTCACAGTGACCCCTTCACCGTGTTGTGTGTCTGTGGGGGGGGGGGGGGGGGTACCGGCAATTTTTTTTTATTGCAGACCCGTTTCTCAGCTATTACTATAAGCACAAACAGTGAATGATGTGGGTTTTTTTTTTCTCCACATTTTTTTTTACAAGTAGCCTATATTAGGCTACTTAACAAGAGCAGACCTAAATTAATACATTACATTATTATTCTTAAAAGTAATTAACTCTCACTACTATGCAATACCATTTTAATGATAGTTTAATTGAAAACATAAGCATTTTGATAATGAACAGATTACATAAGTCTAATGTTTAAAACAAAATAGCTGCACCATTTTAATCAATTATTTTAATTATTAAAACTTTAGGTGGAGTTGAGTAGGCAAACTTAGAAAAGTGATTTTCTGTCAATTTGGTTAGAGAAAGTTCAATATGAATATAGCTCAATTGCCTAAAATAAATGTCAATTTAGTATAAGTAATTATAATGACAGTACAAATAGTGCATCAATTTTTTAAAAATTATTCGCTAACACATTATGTCTAAAGTCTTGAATTTTTCCATAAAAGTCTGGAAAAAGTCTGGAATTTCATTTTCAAAAAGCAGTACGAACCCTGTATTTATTCATACTGATGATATGGTATATAACATCAGCCATTAAATATCAATAATTATTATTTATTCCTGCTGATATACTATATAACACCAGCCATTAAATATCAATAATTATTATTTATTCCTACTGATATACTATATAACATCAGCCATTAAATATAAACCAACAAAACGGAGCAGGCTGGTGGTGGTAAGTATGAATATATCGAATATATCGCACCAAATCTGTGATGGACGGGGAATATAACCTGAAGTATTCAAGTATCTATACCGTTGACACGGCTCATACTATACATACAGGACGAGTATGTATGTATGCATAAATATATATGGATGGATGATAGTTTCCTCCCAAAAAGCATTACAAACTCATCCATGAACGCTGTTAACAATACTGGACAATTCTGACATGTGGCGATGTTGAGGTTGGGAGAAGGTAAATGTTGAAGCATGTGTGACGTCTTCTCTAGATGACCCAACGTTCCAACAAGTATCTTCATGTACAAAAACAGCAAGGTCAGCAGAAAAAAAACAAAATAGTGGAAACTATAAATAGAATGGGGCTAGTGACGTACATGACAATTAACGTCTGCTTGTCCTAAAACCTGAGACCGGGAAATGTAAAAAAAAAAACAACAATTAACTTGTGCAGCGGAACAAAAAACGAATATAATGTTGCATGGCCAAGAGGAAGTGATTACATCACAGAGGTCAAATAGTTTGTTGACCTTCTGTCTAGTCTTGTGATGATAATTTAGCTAGCCATTTTGAATTATTAATTTAAAAAACTTTGCTGTACGTTAATAGTTATTGGAGCCAGCTTTCTAGATCAATACAGTGTACAGTTATGTAGCTAAGGATGGAAGGATCCCAGAAACACAATTGTTTTTAAAAATGTCTTACGAAATGGGCAAGACTTTTTAACAGGTTAAACGCAAGTTCGATAGTTCAATAAGGGTCAGCGCGAGCTATCCGACTTGTCTTGCAGACTTGCAAGTCTCTGAGAGACTGATATCAAAATGGATGTGTACTGACAGCAGCGTTTAAACACGGGATGATGTTCACACCGAACAGTAGAGACTAGATCTAGATTCTAGTAGAAGAAGATTAAACGGTTGACTTTTTGTAAGTTAAATAGTTGACTTTTTAAAAGTAAAATGGTTGACTTTTTGGAAGTAAAATGGTTGACCTTTTGGAAGTAAAATGGTTGACTTTTTGAAAGTAAAACGGTTGACTTTTTGGAAGTAAAATGGTTGACTTTTTGGAAGTAAAATGGTTGACCTTTTGGAAGTAAAATGGTTGACTTTTTGAAAGTAAAACGGTTGACTTTTTGGAAGTAAAATGGTTGACTTTTTGAAAGTAAAAGGGTTGACTTTTTGGAAGTAAAATGGTTGACTTTTTGGAAGTAAAATGGTTGACTTTTTGGAAGGAAAGTAAATTGGTTGACATTTTGTAAGGAAAGTAAAATGGTTGACTTTTTGGAAGGAAAATATTGAGAGATTCAAGCACATTGTTGTTGGAGGAAATTCAAATTTATTCAAATTTATTCAAACAACGGTTACAATTGTAGGCACAAAGGCCTTTTTTCACATTGGCCGTTTAAACAAATAAAACAATTCAAAACACATAGCAGTAACATATAGCACTAAAGATGTGGAATAAAGAAACAATGGTACATAGCTATCATACATAATGAGATAAAAAAGAGAATATAATAGATGAATGAGAAATGTTACAATGAGTCAGTTAGGTCATTAAATAATTTTAGTTTTAGTTTAGATTTGAATATATTTTCAGATCTAGATAGCTTTATTTTATTAGGAAGATTGTTCCACAAATTAGAACCAGAGTAGGCGAAGCTATGTTTTTGGAAAAAAGTTGTATATGGGAATGGTAAATTAAGACGACGATTTAATTTTATGTTAAAAGAAAATAGATCTGATAAGTAAGAGGGGGCTGTTTCGTGGAATATTTTATATAAGAAAATTGATTTAGTATATATTATCTTTTTATTTAAGACGTCTCTTAGGTGTTACAGTAAGCCAATTAGGTGTGTTCCAGTCTTCGTGGCTAATTAGTCTTTTTATGAATCTTGACTAATTTTTAAATTTATACTGCTTTCAAACAAAACATCTCCATATATATATTTATATTTATATAACATATATATAGGCTATATATATATATATATATATATATATATATATATATATATATATATATATATATATATATATATGGATGCTAAATCAAAAGATTGGCACGGGTCAGCAAGTTACGTTGTTTAAAACATTATTTCTCGTATACAGAGTATAGAGGAAGTATTGTAATCGTGCACAAAAATAACATGAAATTTTGACAGTTTTCACCTCAGTACTTCACTATATACGGACTATATCGGACTTCTGTTTAATCCCGCAAAAAAAAAAAAACGTTTTAAAAATTTCGGCGTTTTATGCGTAATCGAGTTGGAAAAACTGGGTTTTGGAAGTATGTCTGTGTGTGTCTGTAAACACGATACATTGAGTACCGTTACTAAGTCTAATGTTTTTGAGAGTGTGGGGCACAAAGTGGGGGGTCGGGATAGAGGGTGAGAGAAAAGCTGACCTCGCCACGACAATTGAATGTAGTCGATGATGTATTGTTGGATACATTTAAAGCCACTTGACCAGATTAACAGCAATCTTGTCCCGACTGTTTCTAAACAACCCCCCCTCCCCCAACACCATCCCCACCCCCAGAGGACACCAGGGGACAGCCTTAAAACAAGTCCGTGATTAAACCCAGCCGGGGGGGGGGGCGGCACGCGGAAAAGATCATCTCTACCTACAGGAGATTTTTGTTTGACTTAAGCCGAGACAATGGCTGGACGTCAGTGGGACGTCAGGGACGTTAGACGGGCCAGTCAGACGTGAGTGTACAGTGTACACTTAGTGTACAGGTGGACTCGGGTCCAGGATGGTTTTGTCGTCTGCCCGAGAGTTGGACTGGATCGTTTTTCTCTCTTGTTTATGTTTGCTCTGCTGCTTTGTAGGTGAGTTCTACACACTCATGACATATATATATATATATATATATATATATATATATATATATATATATATATATATATATATGCGCTAGGGAAACAATCAACTTCAGTACAGTATTTCAATACGTTTGCTTTGATTTGACCCTCATGTAAACTAAACTGTGACATTGAACCCATTGTGGTCTAGTCTTGTGATTCACTTTTGACCAGTACAAGGATTCTACATGTTATAATAAAAGGGGCGGCAACTAGTTATTAGGGCTCGCTAGTACGTAGTGATCTCCCCTTCCGTGTCCTATATCGGATGTCAACATACCCTCGAGACCGAAGTACCCTACTGTGAAGAAGTTATCAGACTACTAACTTTTGTGGGGGGAGGGGGGGGGGGGGGCTTTAAAAAGGACCGTCTGGGTACCCAAACAATCGGCTAAAACAAATTGACGTTTTGTTTTCAGCTCAATAAACCTTTTGTAGCAGTGGCGTAGCGAGTGGGGAGGGGGGAGGGGAGGGTGCGGGGGTCGCGGACCGCACCTGGTGACACCATTTAGGGGGGTGACACCAAGGCAAAAATAGCAAAATATATATAGAAAAATGTTATATCCCCTTAATTAAGTGATTAATTCGAGTGTTAAATAGTCTTTTAAGAGGTGCAAATCGAAAGTTTGAGGGGGGGGGGGGGGGGGAGAGGGTGCAAATCGAAAGTTTAAGGGAGGAGTGCAAATCGAAAGTTTGAGGGGGGGGGGGGGTGCAAATCGAAAATTGAAAGTTTGTCCCCGGGAAGGGTCGCTACGCCTCTGGGGGAGGGCGGTGACACCATTTAGTGCCGCACCGGGTGACACCCGACCTCGCTACGCCACTGACGTGCAGGCATTAATTAATTAGGCTAAGCACCAAATGACCAAATTTAAATCACAGTATTGACAGAATGACGTATTTATGTTAATTATAGATAAGAGTAAAGTTTGTAGGGGGTGGGTGGGGGGTTAACGTTTGACCTGCATGTCGGGTAAGATTAAAGTTCATTGTTTTATGATCACGTGATGGGGATGTCTGTTATGTGACGTCACGCTTTTTATAGTCAGCCCCCCCCCCCCCCCCCACACACACACAATCCATAATCGTCACACGTCACAAAAAGTCATTTTAAACCCTCCCCCCTGCACTCTCTAAAATGACGTCTCGCTTTATAACACTGCTGTTGTATTTTAAAATATCAATGAAAGCTTGTGAATGTGTTACGTTCTGGGTTCATTTCAAATCAATAACAACGCTTTGTGTTTAACTTCACTACTTTTATTCGTCTCAATGCATTCAAGCGTACCAGAACAGCCCTCGTCCTAACCGCTACTAACCCGCTGACTGCCAACTAACTAACCCTGACAACCATTCACTCCAGCTTTTATACCGCATTCGACCTTGGGATAACAATACACAAACACACCGGGGTTAACAATATTCTAGGGTAAACTCAACTCACACACTCACTCTCCCCTAATTCTAGATCATTCTATCCTATTCTAGTCTAACCTACACTGACCCGTAACACTACCCCCCACCCAAGTATTTGTAGTACATACTACAAATACTAACTAAATCCCCAAATCCTAAGTTAACCTAGAGGGCGAAAACAAACAGAGACAAAATAGATAAATAGATAAATAAAATAATTTTAAAAAACAAACAAAAAAAAATAAAAAATAATGATTTGACAGGTATACTACACCAAGAGGATAGTAAATAAATAATGCATTTATACATCTCTTTGTACATGAATCCAAGACAAACAACCGAGTAAAAATAACCGAGAAAAAAAAAAACAGCAAAAAAAAAAAAAAACCAACAAATCTGTGGTTTAAATTACAATTTACATCTCAGACTCCCGATTTAAAATTTCTTGACAAAAAATCAGCTAGAAGATTATCCCTCCCCGGAATGTGTTCTATAGTAAATTTATATTCCTGTAGCAGTAAGGACCAGCGTGTCAGTCTGGCATTATTGAACCTACATTTATGAAGGTATTTTAGAGCACGCTGGTCCGTCTGCAGTACAAAGCTAGCGTTGTATAAATACAACGCTAGTTTGCCTGTGGCCCAGACAATTGCTAGGCACTCTCTTTCTATAGTAGAGTACCGAGTCTCTCTCGGTTGGAGTTTTCTACTGATGTATTTTACTGGTCTCAGGACCCCATTTCTCATTTGCATCAAGGCTGCCCCGATACCTCGTGAAGAGGCGTCGGTCCTGAGGATAAATTGCTCATTAATATTAGGTAAAATAAGAAATGGTTCTGAGTTCAAGTGTTTCTGGACCAGTCTTAAAGCACGGTTACATTCATCTGACCACACGACCTTTTCAGGTTTACCCTTTGCTAACAAGTCTGTCAGTATTGCGTTGGCCTCGCTGAATTCTGGTATAAATTTAGCATAATACCCTATAAGACCCACTAATGATCTTACCTCTTTCTTTGTGGTGGGTATTGCTACGTTTAAGATTCTGTTTACCTTGTTTCTCTCTGGTGTCAGTAGCCCCCTCCCCACTATGTGCCCTAGGAAATTAATTTTTTCAAACCCTAGCTCTAATTTGGCAGGTCTTACTGTCAGGCCCGCGTCCCTCAATCTATTGAACACCGCCTTTATTGCCATAAGGTGTTCCTCCCATGTCTCGCTGTAGATACAGATGTCATCAAAAAATGACACCACATTTTCCAAGTCTTTTAACACGACTCGCATTAATCTGGCGAATGTGGCGGGTGCCGTGCATAGGCCAAAGGGCAGGTAATTAAACTGAAATAGGCCCCAGGGTGTGACAAATGCGGTGAGTTTTTTGCTGTCATTTTGCATGGGGATCTGCCAATACCCTTTTGTGAGGTCGAGTTTAGTAAAATATTTTGCCCTATTTAATTTAGCGAACAGCTCATCTGTATCTGGGATGGGTTCCGCGTCGTAGACTGTGACTGCGTTAAGTCTCTTATAGTCTACACAGAACCGTGTCGACCCATCTTTTTTCTTAACTAGTACTACAGGTGCGCTGAAGTCGGAGTCGGACCTCTCTATTATCCCCAGTCTCTCCATTTCGTCCATCTCTTTCTTCATAAGCTCTCTTCGGGCGTATGGTATGCAGTAGGGTTTCGTTCTTATTGCTCTGGTGTTGGTCAGTTTTATTTTATGTTCTAGTAAACTTGTTTTTCCAGGTAAGTTGCTAATTACAGCTGTGTACTCTTGGATAATTTTGTCTAGATCCGTCCGCTGTGTTTTTGTCAGGGTGTCTCCTATTTTGATATCACTTAACTTAGTTTCCTCCAGTATGTCAGGAGTTTTTATTGTGTCCAATGGAATACCCGGTTCCATGTCCTCCTCATCTGTTAGTGATACTTGGTTTTCTTCTTCTGCCTCCACCACTCCTGACACTGCCGCTAACATGGGGTGTCCCTTGCTGTCGTCTGGTTTTTGTCTGTGATGGTACAGCATCATCCGATTTACATGGACCACCTTAGTGCTGTCCCCTGTTTTAATAACATAGTCCAAGTCTCCGATTTTTTTTAAGACTTCGTAAGGTCCCGCCCACCTTAGCTCAAGTTTGTTTAATAGTTGGGGCTTCAGTATCAGTACATGATCCCCCACTTTGATATCTTTGGTTGTGGCTGATCTATCGTAGTAGCTCTTTGCTTTATCTTTCTCATTTTCTGATTTGCGGGTTGCATAACGGCATGCCGTTTGCAACTGCTGCTTAAGGTCCAGCAGGTAGTCATATGCAGCTCTTGTCTTATATTCCCTTACTTCTCCTGTGAGGATATCCTTTAGGATGCTCATCGGGCCCCTCACTTTCCTGCCGAACATAAGTTCGAATGGCGGGTAACCAGTGCTTTCGTTTGGAACTTCTCTGTAGGCGAAAAGTGCTGCTGGGATGAACACGTCCCAATCGTCATCCTTGTCTATAGCTACTTTCTTTAGCATTTCCTTCAAAGTTCCATTCCATCGTTCTACCGCCCCGTTGGCCATGGCGTGATATGCCGAAGCGTGAATGATTTTAATCCCCAACATTTTAGACACGGTGCAGAAAATTTCCGACGTGAACTGGGTCCCGTTATCTGAGAGTATGACTTCCGGGAATCCCATCCTCGTGAAGATGGAGAGTAGCGCATCTTGGATCTCTGCTGCCGTTACACTTTTCAGCGGTACGGCTTCTGGCCACCGTGTGCATATGTCTACGGCTGTGAGTATGAATCTGTTCTTTTTTTTCGTTTGAGTTAGTGGCCCCACAATATCTACGGCGATTTTCTCAAACGGTTGTCCCACTACCTCAGTTCTACCCAGAGGCGCCTTGCCACCAACATTCTTTTTGCTTTTCTGGCAGACATCACAACTTTCGCAGTAACGCCTGATATCCTCCCCTGCCCCTGGCCAGCTAAATTGTGACAGAATTCTGGCTTTCGTTCTTGCTACACCCATGTGCCCCGCCATAGGTGTGTCGTGTCCTAATTTCAGGATGGTGGGCCTAAGTCCCCTTGGGATTGCTAGTCTAATCTGATCTTCTGTTTTGCTGTGTTTTATGATCTTATATAATAACCCATCTATCGTTTTACATTGTTTGCCCTTTTCCGCGAGCTTCCACCACCTAGCTAATGTTTTGTCTTCGCTCTGTTGCGTTTTAAAATCTTTCGATGTCGTTATTTGGTCTAAAATCTTATGCCCCGGCTCATTTCTCTGGTTGCCCCATGCTCTAAGTTGTCCTGTGGTTTCTACCGCCGCTAATGTTAGCGAATCTTCCCTCGGTAATTTCGCGCCTGCTACATTCCCTATTATAAGTTCAGCGGGTGGATCATCTAAAAGGACGGCAAAGAACTCTCCCGTAAGGTATGGTGTTTCTATGTTGACTACAGCTCCTGGTACTCTTTTCTTATCTCCATCCGCGGTCTTTATGGTTATCCATTCTTTTGTCCATCTATTCCTTGGGACTAGAGCTTTTCGACAAGCTACGACTACAGAGCCCGTATCCCGTAGGACGGT